CAATATCAAAGCTGAATTTACAGGTCCAACACTGATCAAACGAGCATTTCGGTGGAGGGATGAGTCCAAGGGCCGCATTAAACTTCGGCCCTGACCAATCAACTTTTCTACCCCGAATAGTCACCGAAATGCTTTTAGTGGTGCCTACGGCCGCGTAAAACTTGGTTACCCAAGAAACATTGGCCTTTAATGGCGCAACCACCATTTGTTCCCATTGCAAAGCCACCAAATGGTGCTTGATAGCCATAAAAGAGTTGACCAACCGTGGGTCAAAGGCCCGTTCAAGAAGAATTTTATTATTTTTAATATGGTTGTACCTCTCTTGAAATGGTATCACTTTGTCTTTCTTTTTCTTTGGGGCTTGTTGCTTCTTCTGTTTTGCTGCCGCCTTTCTCTTTTTAGAAGGTTTTGGTTTACTGACTTCCAAAACCTCCACTTCTGGAATTTCAACTTCGTCCCTTTCCTCAGTTTTCTCTGCCACATCTTCAGCATGCACAAAATCCTGGGCCATCTCATCCTCATAATCACTGTCTTCAGGCACTGGTTTTGGTAATGGCTGCGGAACAACATACTCTGAGCATGAACTTGCAATACTTTCTGATGAGGATTATGTGCTCACAGTCCGCCCACTGGGGGCAGTGACTGGTAGTTCCTCAACAAGAAGTTCATTTTCTGTTTGAGTCTCTGGGGGTTGCTGTGGTGATTCTTCGATTGACTCAGGAACAGCAAAAGGGAATAAATCTTCAGGATTAGTAGAAGCATTTACTTCAAAGTCAAAATGGAACTCCTCCCCTAAGGTATCACTAAGGTTAAGGTCGAAGTCTTGTATGGTGGGTGGGCCGAGTGGTGTAGATGGTAGGGGAGTAGGAGGCGGTTGAGTGGGTGTAGGGTTAAGTGTAACACCCTAACAAAAGGAAAAAAATGACGTTTACAAACAACAAAAGGACGGTAATAAACAACCTATTAATCTAGACAATTCTACACCTAAATTAAAACGGGTGTTTCTATCATCTCCCAACAAAATACCATGCCATCGAATGATATAACGCTCAAAGCACCAAATGCTTTATCTACAAAAATACTTATTGAAACAATGATTCTTCACAGCCCCTTGGAGCCCCGCCACTAAAGGAACCTGCTAAACGAGCCAATTCAAGAGAGAGTGGTAGGCTTACGCCTAGTGAGTCCAAACAAAAATATAATTAAGCTATATAACCATCATATGTGTGTGTGCATATATATATATATATATATATATATATACGTAACGTAACCTTAAACGATACAAAAATGAACAATTTATTCCAAACGAATCTCGAGGTGGGCCAGAACATCCGAAGATGACGGAGGWGACCCGATTTACCGTTAATCATGACGGAACACAAAGTAAGTCATAGATCAACGTTATAGAGCATCACTTGCAGGTTTAGAACCATCGACATCAACCTAAACCAGTCATATAGTCGGCAGTGATCTTAAGCTCTTTACTTCGGTAATTACACAATAATCACAATGCCTATTACCGAGTGAAAATGAGAAGATAATTTGGTGATTACATAATAATCGCAATGCCTATCGCCAACTTACACCATCATTCCCACGATTAAAATAAAACGACATTCATGCCTACAAACTCAATACCTTCCAGTACTAAATTTGAATACGGAACCGAAAACATATTTAGCACCTATTTATCAAAAGATAAATGCACGTGTCCATTCTCGAACAAAAGAAAATGCCCGTATTGACAATAAAGAGCCTCAACTTAAGAACATGAGGATTTTAGAGTTTAGCGGCCAACAACGCTTCGAAATGGGTATTTTACCAAGTGATTAAGACCCTTTACCCAACTCATCTTATCATTATAAATGGGATCTCCCAAGTTCACTCCTTATACCTAAAAAGACCTTCATTTCGTCTAACAGGTAATTACATGGAATTTAGGCAAGAGGTAAGTAAAATGCTTCTTTTCAGTTAGTATAAGGTTTCCTAGAAAGGATTAAGATGAACTCATCAAGGTTACGCATAAGCCTTTAAATCAAATGAAACATTTCCAGTTGCCAACAAGGACTACAAATGTAAAACATGACGGTGCTTGAGTCTTATGGCCAACGGTACTTTGAAAACGAATAATTTTACCAAGCAAATGATCATGTAAAATTAAAGCGTAAGGCAAGTAATGTACAACATTTCAATTAGTATAAGTTATCACGAAAGGAATAGGATGGACTCACTTCGTAGGATTTAGGAGAAATCCCGAAAATTTAAGTACAAAAGCTGGAAATGGCAGTCCCAACAGCAGCTACGGCTGCCCCTTCGTGACCCTACAGCTGCTTCCATTTCCGTCTGCAGCGCGACCAAACAGCAGCTGTTTTGCTGCTTTTCTTCCATCTGCTGCACGAGCAAAATAGCAGCTACTTGCTGCTTGTTCTTCCGCTGCTGCACGAGCCAAAACAACAGCTACTTGCTGCTTGTTCTTCCGCTGCTGCACGAGCCAAAACAGCAGCTACTTGCTGCTTGTTCTTCATGCTGCTCAAACAAACAGCCTGGCTGTTTGCTGCTGCTGTGCGAGACGGAAATGGTAGCGACTGCTGCTGCCTTACATGATCTGAAATGCGCAGACGGGAGGAACAACAGCTGTGTACGGGAGGCGTGATGGCCACAGCGCACGGTCTGGATGTAGGGAAGTAGCTGTGCGCAGGGGGAGGCACGGGAACAGAAGCTATGCGCGGTTTGTGGCTGGAGTTAGAGGTCGGCGTCGGTATATGCAGGTATTTTCTAAGAAGGGTTTAGCTAAAATGGAGGTAAGACTACCCCTTCTTCCTTCACTGTCGACCAGCGGCTCCCTCTCTGAAATCTTTCTCCCCCAAAGACCTTCAAACCCCCAAAGCCCAAGGACTCCCCTTTTTTTTCAACAAAATCCTTCAATCCCCTTTTTAAAAGCAAGGGCAGCAGGCTATGATTTAAAAACAAAAGGTAAATCCTTCTAAAGAGGGTGTGTCTACTGGTTTGGGTAAAATACAGGAGGTAACACCCCCCCTCTTTTCCAACTTTTACCCCTATTCCTAACACTACAACTAGGCAATTATAAAAGGATCCCCATCTTCTTTTCTTTAAAAAAAAAACAATTAGAATAAAAGGTTACTATATTCCTAATATGAAATACACACATATATAAATACATACGCATAAAAGTAAAGACGCAAACCTAGCAAACGAGACGGGAGGAATTCCGACGGGAAAGAATTGGAGAATGAGGGAGGAAAAGAAATTCCAAGGTGTTACAATTCTCCCTAACTTGGATTAAATTTCGTCCTTGAAATCTGAGTTCACGCGAATAGGTGGGGGTAACACCTCTTCAAGTCTTCTTCCGCTTCCCACGTCACGTTAGACCCTCGATGATGCTTCCACTTTACCTTGACTAGGACGACCTCCCGGTGCCTTAACACCTTGGTTTTGCTTCCCAAAATGGCTCCCGGTTCTGTCACGCATCGATTGTTCTCATCAACACGAATTTCCGAAAGTGGTATCACACTTTCTTCTTCCGCCAAACATTTACGAAGGTAACACACATGAAAGGTGTTATGGATGCCGGCCATTTCTGGGGGTAGTTCTAATCTATAAGCTTGGAGCCCCACCCTAGGTAAAACTCTAAACGGTCCGAGAAAACGGGGACTTAGTTTCCCACGTTTTCCAAAACGGATGACGCCTTTCCAAGGAGATACCTTTAGCATAACTGTTAGTATTGAAAATCAGTATTAATTGTATTCGTCTTGAAAGTTAAATATAGTCTATAACTGTAAAAGTTAGCGTGTTTGACTTTCTTATAGAAGTTTGACTTTGACTATTGTTTAGTTTGTTGACCATATAAATATGGTTAGTCTTTGTAATCGGAAATGAGGAGAGCTCATTTGCATATTCATACGTAATAAGAGAGGTTTGACCATATTGTAAGGATTGACTTTCTCTCTCAATGTTCATGTGGTGTTCTTGAATGTTATATCCTAATCTGCCATGATTATGGAGCTTAATATGAAGATTGATCATTAAAGTGGGACTCACAATTGGTATCAGAGCATGTGTGCAAGAAATCAGATGAAGAAATCAGAGATAAGTGAATTTTTTTTTGAATTTTTTTATGTTCTTCGTGTTCTTCATTTTTTCTTAGATTTTGATCCGAATTTTTTTTAATTCCTGTGTTTTTGTGTTTAAATCATGATCAAAATGCTCGAAATTGCATTGTGAATCTTTGTTATTCACAAAGATTTGTGATTTGATCATTCATTTTTTTTTATTTTTGGTGGATTTTGTGTTTTTAGATTTTTTTGTGTTCTTGAATTTTTTTTAAACCAGTGTTTTTGATCCATTTTTTTAAAAAGTTTTTCTGTTTTTGTGTTTTTGATAGGTTTTGATTTGTTTTTAATTTTGAATCTCTTATTTTTTTTTTGTTAATTCGTCCAAATTCAAAAGCCCAATCCTTTTTAGGCCCAACATTTTGACCGAATAAGAGTCCGGTTACGTGTCTTCATCAAAATCAAAGTACGCCCTTCATTGCTAACCTGATTCAATCGGAGACTTCCATTGCTCAAATCGATCAACCGGATTAAGCTGTTCTTTGCACAAGGCATGATCGGTAAGTCAATCGCTCAACTTTAATCTAATTTTACTAAAGTCTAAATCGAAGAAGCCTTGACCGGATTAGTGACCGGATTTGTTTAACCTCTTGACCGGTGTTCATGTAAACCGATCATCTCTTGAGCGGACTTGTGAACGGTTTAGTACTTAGAGTTTTTGTGCATCGAAGGGTTTCTTATTTCAAAGTCTCGCATTGTCCTGTTTTGGTATATCGATTAAGAATCTTGAGCGGACTACTCATCGGATAAGCATCAAGATTGATTAGACTCTAAATCGCCTACAGGTACGTTACATCAATCAATTTAGAACAGTATTGACCGAACTTTTGACCGAATTAAGATTCTGCATGAGTGATTTAGAGATTACACTTGAGCAATTTATTTCGAATCTTGACCGGAGAGTTGAGCGGATAAGTCTTCGGACAGGTCATTCATGTGGTGGTCATCGTGACCGATTTAGGCTATGTGAAGCATTGATCGGATTTTAACAGGTAACAGACAGATTGATCGGATTTTGGTCTTGGCTTCAAATCGAACAGCAACCTTTCTCTGTTTAAGACTGCTCGTTTATATGTTTTTTTCCTAACTGTTTTGATTAAATTGAAGCTGACAATTTGATTGTCAAGTTTTTGATTTGAACAGGTTAGTTTTGTGAGTGTATAAACCAGGTGACAGGTTCTTATTGCTGTTTTACATAAGAATTGTGTGTGTTGTCTGTTTTTAGAAGATTGTCAGRTTTAAGTCTCTTGCAGTGTCAGGTTCAAGTATCTTGCAGTGTGCGGTCTAAAATACATTCATTGTCCAGTTTAGCTTTGTGCTGTGTCCAATTTAGACTCATAGTGTCCGGTTTAAGTTTCATATAGTGTCCGGTTTAGGATTAATGCTGTGACAGGTTTAGTAGACTGTTTAAAGTGTAGTTTTGAAGCTGTTGTGATTTTGAGTTGCTGTTTTGATTTTGAACTGTCTCCAATTCTCAGTTCTAAGTACAGCAAGAGAGTGATCAAAAGAGTGAAGTTTTCAACTTTTTGTGTAAATCTTTATCACTCACACCAATATTGTTGATTTACTGTTTTGTATTGATTGTTGGTCACAACAATTTGAAGAAACAGTTACTTGTTTTGAGTTTCATCTTAGCAGCTGTCAGTGACAAAGGCTGTGAATTCGGGAGCAAAGGAGAGGGCCAATACTGGTGCAAGCTGTTTTTAATCATGCAGTGTGTGTTTTTCTGGTAACAGCAGGTTTAACATGCAATCTTGACTGTTTTTAAAACAGACTTGAAGCTGCTGTATTCCTTTGATTTAGTGTGCAGTCTTGACTAATTTGAGTTTGAGTCTTTACTAATTTGAGTTTGAGCAGCAGCAAGATGGCATGAAAGGAAGCAGAAGGAGGATTTCGTTTCAAACAAATGTTTGCTTTCTACTAGCTTGCATGATGATGGATGATGCATCTGTTTTTTCGAGGATATTGGATGCTGAGGCTACAAAACTACTACTAAAGCTGTTAGGGCCTGGTAATGAAGCTCCAGTGAGAGCATAAACAGGAGCAGCTGCTTGTTGCTAGAACTAAAAGTTGTGATTGAGATACTGTTTCTTACACTCAGACAGATTCTTTGCAAGAGTCTTTTGCTACTGAATTTTTTTAAGAAACAACATTGTGATGCAAATGGCATAAATGAGAAGATCCAAGCAGCAAAAGAAGATCTATGTAAAAAGGTTGAACTGCATAACAGTTATAAGGGATTTATAATTGTTTTTGAGTTTGTATTAAGACTTGATCATTTGTTGTTGTGACATTGCATATTTCTGAATTTTGATAGCATATTTGTATTGTCGAGAGAAGTTCACTTGGGAGAGGAGATTCCCAACTTGAGGAATTTCATTGTTAAATTATTTCATCACAATATTTTCTGCTTCAAAATCACAATTTGGTTGCTACTAATATTTCAGGGAACATTTTAGGTGTGCTGAATTCTTATCATCATCAGTGAGCGGGCATAGCTAAACCGTTTAGTACAGTGAACGATCTTGAATACATTGTTTGACAGTGTGGTTGAATATAGGCTTAGTTGATTTGTTTTTGTTTTTGGTCTTAGACATTTATTTTCTTGGGCTTATATTTGTTGTGTTTTTGGTTTTGTATTTTGTTTGTGTCTAGATTTTATTTTTGGATCATTGTATATCTGTTTTGTGTCTTTTAACTGTTTGAGAATTTTTGAACTGTTCTGCGTCGCGTAAACTGTTTCTTATCAGTTTTAACTGTCTTTGACTGTTTTTAACAGTTTTTAACTGTTTTCAACGGTTTTGACTGTTTTTACTGATTTTTGACAGTTTCTTGTCGTTTTACTAAATTCTCATCAGTTTTAGTGTTTTTCTGTTTTTTTTAGCTTAAATGATTTTGTTTCTTTTTACCTGATTTCACTGCATAGATCCTTAACTAATCAATTTTTTTAATGGCAGATATTATAAAGCAGTTGAGAGAGAAGATTGCCGAGTTGGAAAAGACTGTTATGGAGTATAAAATTCAGAATTATACTAATGAGCAATGTATTAAAACTTTGAATCGGGAGAATAAAGAAAGGTTAGAAAGAGTTGAGAATGATTCCAAGTCTCAGATAAATGAACATAAAACTCAGATTGATAAACTTAAAAACT